GAGATAAGCAATCATTTTCTACAAAACTATGTCATTAGATGCAAACAAATCTTAGTGGACTGATTCGTCTTGTTATGAGCCCCTATGTTTTCTTTAATTGTTTTGATGGTGAAAAGTGTTATTCTTTCATGATCATTTCGATAGAAAGAAATTTGATGATCAAAAAGACTACATACTCATAAAAAATAATAGATGATGAATAGACAAGCTGTTGCCGATCATTTAAACAGGAACGACAAGTAATTTATAAGTATATGAAAAAATAAAAGAAGGAACATCGCTTAACTAAAACAAATGACGTTTTATGTATCAAATGCCTTTCAGTCGACGATATCTTACTTACTGCTATGTGGTGTTTTTGTTCACATGCATTGTATATTGTCTCCAATACTCTGCTTATTTCGAGAAACTGCAAGTTGAACAGTATGAGGTTGTAAAAGTAGGAAATGGCGATAAGACATCGATGAATGCATCAACAACGAAACACATCACAGCGACAGTGTCTTTTCGAAGTTTACCAACTAGTACAATAATGAATGTACCAATATCAACAATGGAACACGTCACATCCACAGTGCCATTTCGAAGTTTATCAACTAGTACAAGAATGAATGTACCAATATCAACAACGGAACACGTCACATCCACAGTGCCATTTCGAAGTTTACCAACTAGTACAATAATGAATGTACCAATATCAACAATGGAACACGTCACATCCACAGTGCCATTTCGAAGTTTATCAACTAGTACAAGAATGGGTATATCAATATCGACAAACAGCGTACCCATCTATTCCATGAACAATACAAAATCGACTGTAACACTTCTCACGTCAACTACTACATATGCACTACGGACATATGCCGCGCTCGAAATCCTCACTCAACGAGAGTCTAGTTATCGTCATATTCTCAATTCTACAACAATTTTCGAGTTAAAACAACCAAAATTTTCTGACAATTTAGCAGACTTTCAAATACCGTACTTTTATTCATTATGGAAAGATTCACCGTCATTACTTCCACGTGCTCTATCACCAGGTGAGCACGATACGACGATGTCATTAATCGACGTATTCCAACGGTTATGTAATGAGCACCATATAACTTTCATGATGTCGGATGGCACATTGTTAGGTAAATATACTTTCTATAGATATCGAATAAAAATTAATTTTATTCCATTTCAGGAAGTTGGCGTCATCATGATATCATACCGTATGATGATGATGTTGATTTTCTTGTACAATACAGCAACAGGGAACGATTATTTCAAATACTGAACGAATCCGCGACAGCCGAAGGCATCAATGTAGCATTTGCTTTGAGCAAAGTTTTAAAAATTACGTTTAATAACACCGGAAAAGCTCGTCATGTTACATGGAATTGGCCGTTTATCGACATTTGGTTCTACCGAGAGAACTCGACACACATCTGGTATAATAACATGGAATACTATACAATTGAAAAAACACTCATATTCCCACTAGTATTACGACCACTTGCTGCAAAGTGGTTACCATCGCCGCGGAGGCCATATGGTTATTTTAAATCGATGATAAAAGATAAGAGCAAGGAGGGTGACTTTGAAAATTATTGTAAAAATGAAGGCTATAATCATCGTAAAGAGTTATTGTATCCAACGACGGGTGCTGAATGCAAAAAATTAAAACCGTATTATCCGTTTGTTGAACGGAGTTGTTCGAAAGTGTTGTGCACGGAATGGTTAAAATTAGGAAACAAAACATTATATGCATTACAAGTACAAAAATAATCTCATAACGGAAATTCTTAAATAGTGCCAAATAATAAAAGAGCTGCTAATACTAATACCTAGGTAAATATTTGAGACAGAAGGATACTTAATATGTTCCAGCGACGAATAAAGTGAGATAGTATTGCTCTTCTTTCTGAATCTCAACATCACAGTTGCTAATCAGTATGTTGCTTAATATATACTCTCGAAATGTTAATACTAGCGCTTGGCATAATTTTTATTGATTCCAGTGTACAAGCGAGGGCCGAGGCCATACTCATTATAAGTACAATTTATAGAACAATAAAAAACAGCGATAAAACACATGAAAATCTAAGAAAGAAACAAGAACAACTAGCCGGCAATCATGTCAGCGAGAGTTGCAAATGCAGTGCTAGCAGGTAAATATGATAACTGGAGCGAAGATTTTGTTTAATAATATACAGCAGCCTTACCATATAACTGATGAAGAAAGTGTAGATTGCCTACCCAGGTCAACGGTCGCGATCAACTCGTGGCGTGATCTCGGTAAAATCGTATTTTTTGAAAAGTACGTTGTGAGACTCGCGCAGCGAATTAAAACTCGCGGCGCGATCGCTATCTATGATGCCGCGAAGTCTGGGCGCGATTGCTGTACACTCGCAATCTCGCCGCATGACTCTAAATTCTGCATCGATTCAACTGAATTGCAAGAACGCAAAAGAATTCACTGAAGCGATTTCTGTTATGATTAAGTTACTTCTACTTGCTCTCAAATCTTTTGGGCTAGTAAGTGGCCGTAACGGTTATTTATTCTATTGTGCAAATGTTTCAGGCCTGAAGCTTTGATATCTTCAGATTTAAATGTCTAAACCTTTAAAAGTGCACAAGTGTAAAAGTCTAAAACTCTAAGAGTTGAAGTGTCTCAAAATTTGAAAGTCTAAACATCCAAAAGAATGAATCTCTAAACATCTAAAAATCTAAAAGGGATACAGTCTAAAACTCTAAAAGTTTGCAGACAACGATGTCTAACAGTCTGCAACAGTGAAATTCAAAAATTCCCAAAGTCTAAATGTCTAAAGGCATGGAAGTCTAAAAGCGTCAAACAACGAAACCTGCCAGCATTATATATAATGCGCATCGCCTTAGCTGCACTACTCCTGCAAAGAAATATTAAAAAGACTCAAGACTTCTAGACTTTTTATATTCTTCTTATATTCTTATTTCTTATATTAATAATCGGACAGCGCTGGCTGCAGTCGTGAAAATGTTCTTTCGTAGCTCACTTTCTTGCTATGCTGAATTACTTTTGTTCTTCTACTATTTCCTCAACTGTTACAACGAATATGTATCACACACACGGAAGAACTTGCTACAATGGAAGTTATGAATTATGTCATTGTTTTCTGCCAACATTATCCTTTCAAATAGTGTTGTAGTCTATTTAAGATATTCTAGAAGTACTTTGATTATAAAACAGTTTGTTTTCTGGACCGAGTGATCTACATTCTTCCCTGTTTCTTATTTGCATGAATGCATCAGTTGGAAAGTTAACAACCGTTTCTAGAATACTTTTATCTTCGCTGACTTTTCTTATATAAAGCAGATCTTCAATTAAGCAATTTCTTGATCTCTCATAAGCTGTATCAAATCGTATCTGGAGTTACTAGGCCTCGATCTAATACATCTAGTAATTTCTAATAGTTTAAATCTCGTTGAGACCTGTTACATTCAACCGGCGCTGAGTCATAGTGACCATAGTTTTATTGAATTTACCCTTAATGTAAATCAGACTCATAAAAGTCGTATTGAACGAGTAATCTATGATTATAACTTGCTGACTGAACAAGAATAAATCATAAATGCGGTAGCATTCCTATCGGCCAACTCTTACGGAACTATAATAATGTGAGTGAGAAAGCTAAGGCATTAGAACAGACCTTTTTAGAACAAGTAAACCTTTCTATTCTAGATAAAAAAATTCTCCTACAGTCTAGAGATAAAATTTGGTTCGATAAACATGTTCGACATCTTTACCAGCGAACTAACAACTTATATAGGGCACTTGTTCACCATATAGTGAGACGTAGTCGTGTTTCAACCATACCTGCATTCAAGAATGTAAATGGAGACATTGTTACAAAAGTACCTGACAAATTTTGTTGAACAGTTACTTCGCAAATATTTCCGCATGAAACGGCCCATTCATCGACTTGAATATTACTGACCATTTGCCGACTGCTACAAATAAATTAAAATCTTTTCAAGTTGAACCGAGAGATGTTTTGAAAATCTTGATTAAACTCGGCAGTAGTCGAGCTACGTCCAGGTCTTACAAAGTGTATGTTGAAAAATTTGGCTCGTCTATCAGCCCATACATCTATGAGACCGTCAGACAGTCCTTTTCTTCCACTGTTTATCCTTCACGTTGGAAATTCGGATTTGTGAATGCATTGTTTAAGTCAGGTGACACCCTAGATCCAACTAATTATAGGCCAATAACACTCCTGTCTCCAGTTTCTAAGTGTGTGAACGTGTTGTGCATCGTCAGTTGTATACCTATTCGAAAAAGAATCACCTTCTATCCACATTTCAGTCCGATTTCATTGTGAAAGATAATATAACTAACCTTTTGCTTGATGTTGTAAATAAAATTAATATTGGACTGGGCAAAGACAAAATAGTTAGGGATGTATTGTTGGATTTCAAGAAGGCATTCGATAATGTAAAACATGTTTGATTATGAAACTTAAAAAAAAGGAGTTAAAGGAAAGTCACTGAAATGGGTAGAGACTTATTTATTCGATCGTACAATTCAGACAATCTTAGAAGATCATAAGTCTGATCCATTAAAAGTCACTAAAAGTGTAGCACAAGGCTCAGTAGTTAGTCCACTTCTTGTTCAAGTATACACTGATGATCTATCGATAAAGATCGAATCATCAATTCGTTTGTTTGCAGACTATATAGTACTGATTAATCATCGTCCTGATCCACTTATCGCTGCGAATGAACTGAATCGTCATCTTAATCGAGTACATATGTGATCTGTTACATGGTATATCCTACTAAATCCAGTCAAATGCGAGGCAATCACATCGTTTGAAGAAAAAATGTCATCAAGAGCTCCGAGACGTCTGCAGATGTTTTTTCAGATTTCTTCTAGCTGTTATCATCGATGAGAAAAATCAAAAATAAAGGTGGTGAACAATTTTGGATCCACTGCAGGCTTAAGCGGCGCAATACTTAAAACCCCCAAATCGCTGCTAAGCTTGATTAAGCCTCGAATTATGGCGCATCGAATTATGTATGAATGAGTAGAAATCCTCTTTAGTTTTAAAGAAAAAAGTGAAACAAAAGTTCCCTTGGCATAGCCACGATCTATGGAAAAGTTTAGTATTAAACTCACAAAACGTGGTGCCAGGCTTCTTTAAGGTTCCTTTTAACTCATCTTATAGAGCGTTCCAAGACGCATCGAATGGTGTATGAATGATTAGGGATCACTTTTAGTTTTATAGAGAAAAGTTCTAGTCAGTTTTGCTGGTAGAGGACCCTCCGTAAACTGAATGTTGTTTGAAGAAAGAATGTAATAAAGAGCTCGGAGACGTCTCATTTTCTTTAGAACTGTTTGCTCTACACGAAAGACGTATTCGTAAAGAATTTTCAAATTGAACTAGGGCGCTTCGTTTTCTAAGATTTTGGTTTTCCAGAGACCCTGCTTTCAAGAGTTTTGGTGGAACCATTTATACAGCACTTACGATCGGAAATTCTTTCAGCTATTCAAATCTTTTTTCAGATTTGTTCTACCTGTTATCATCGATGAGAAAAATCAAAAATAAAGGTGGTGAATAATTTTGGATCCACTGCAGGCTTAAGCGGCGCAGTATTTAAAACCCCCAAATTGCTACCAAGCTTGATTAAGTCTCGAATTATGGCGCATCGAATTATGTATGAATGAGTAGAAATCCTCTTTAGTTTTATAGAGAAAAGTGCCCGACAGTTCGAGTAGCATAGCGGCGACATATGGAAAAATCTAGTATTTGATTCATAATGGCCGCAGCCAGGCTTCGTTAAGGTTCCTATTAACACATATTGTAGAGCTATTCAAGATGCATCGAATGGTGTATTACACTAGACTAAATACTGTATAGTTGCACAGAAATTTTGATTTTATCGTAATACTGATAGTGTAACAGGGGTGTTTCTCTGCGAGTAGCCAGATTTGATCGTATAGGTCCAATCGCAATCGTCCGACACAGTCGAAAGCACTAAATAAGATAAGTTTGATGAATTCTGGATACTTTGAAGCAATAGGTATTTTCCTCTTTTCGCTAGAAATATTTTTTAATGCGGTGCGAAGCACTACTGCATTACAGTAATAAACCGTGCCTTTCGTTTCTAGATCGAAAAAGTGTCATTTCTGTAACGGCTTTCTCGAGAACTAGAAGGGGCACAGTAAAATTTTAAACGCGCATAGGGAACTGTGTGTCTGCATTAATAAATAAGGTATTTTCAGTCTTTGCGGATGTTCCAGTGGAGAGTTAGGACGTTTAAAAGTACGTGATTTGAACGTCTGAGACTTGTAACTTTTGCCGGCATTACAGCCCCCGGCCGAGTCCTTCTTTAAAAACTTAACTGTTTAATCAAAACTAATTATACAAACGTGATTCTAGTGTACTTTGATCGCGAATCATTTTTAGTTATGATCGCATTTAAGATATTTTAGAAAAAGCTCTGCCGGGATATAGATTAATCATTAATTAATCCTAATTAACGCCGAGGATGGACAGTTAGCGACTTACATTTTTATTTGCAAATCAACCGTTCTTTGAAAATAATCACACGATACGTCATTCGAATTAGCCTTTCAAGTGCTATAAAACTGTGTATATAAGATAATCAAATTTTTTTTAGATAAGAATAAGATTTTGACGGAGTTATGAATTTTTGATAAAAATAGTCCAAAATAGGTTAGCGTAATCTATCAACTCGTCGCGTTTGGCCCAAAAACTATGCGGCTTTCGTAACCAGATAAAACT